TTTCTGGTTTCTTAAGTTGGATATCTTGTCTAATTGCCACAAATTATTCAAACTAGATGACCAGTTTATCTTAGAGGAGAACTAACCTGTGGCGAGGGGTCACCATTTGATTCCACAGAGAACACAAACCAGAGAGGTTGAGAACCACTGATATGTACACATCCACATTTGTAGCAGCGTTTGCGGTTGTGATTTAATTTAAAGTATTTGAATGAAGTGTTTCGTATTTTGCCTCCCTGCTTGCAACAACATGATTTAAGAGGTGAGCGCCTGTGTGGCTGAAGTGTGTGTGCTGAGTCTCACGAGGGCGCTACATGTAGCTGCACATGCTGAACGTGTGTTGTGTTTATCAGTGTTGAGCACAGGAGACATCTGCTGTGCTCACAGATGTGTTTTGCAACCAAAGCTCTCCTCTGAGGAGTGTTGAACGTCACACTGGCTCTGGGAGCTGTTTGCACCTTCATATCAGTTCCTCCCAGGTCCCTCCCTTCCTGTTTGCCTCTGTCACACATTTAGTGTCATTTTTGACTTTGAAAGAAGCCTGTAACAACTGTCAGAAGCTTTTTCTTGCTTTGGGAGCTAATCTAACTGTCAAGTCATGCAAATGAACGCGTTTCCAGCTTGTTGAAACACTCACCTGGCCTAAAAACGTATTCCAAATGTACTACAGGCTCAGTTGCAGCTGAACTACCAGGTCTTTTAATGTGTATCCATATGTGTATTTGTCTTGGACATAGAGTTAGTTGGGTAGCGCTATTGCTTTTTAGCAGGATCAGCAGCTTTGGGGTCAACAGGCCTGGCTGGAGCTGCTGGTCAGACGCCATATGTTTGCCCGGGCACATGCAGACCGTCGTCCCTGCCCTCACCTCCCTCAGCCTCAACCATTCTAACTGATTTCACCAGCTTACCATGGCTTTAGCATCTGTGCAGTAAATTTAGGACATAGCTGTTTGCTTGTTCGCCTGGTGGTTTAAACCAGTAAACCCAAGCTGTGACTTTTAGTTGTTGGTTTGATGTGCTGTGACACCATCTCTATATGCCCACGATGAGGCTGAGTTACAGAAGTAGAGAAAGAAGGGAGAGACAAAGGGAGCAAGAGGTAAAAGATCATTTTAAAATAAACAGTAGCTCTCCACTGCTACAGGATGAATTTGTCTATGTCCTGTGATTTGTATTTGAGTTTCAGCTTTTCATTTAGACACTATTAGAAGGTTTTTGACAAAGAATGGGACACACCTCATAGTGGTGGACCAGGCAGACAAAGCAGAGCTGGTTTTCTGTTTTCATGCAGTGGTACAAAATAAGGAGCTTTGCTAAAATCTAATATTTCTTGCAGGTGAAATTTGAGGAGAGTGAAATGATTCCAAAGTCAGGAAAATCTTCAGCAGACTCACGGAAAAGTGTTGGCATCCATGAGTTTGCAGCGCTCGCCAGATCCTCCTTAAATGGTAAGAACCTTTTTACTCTGATTTCAAGCCTTGCATTTCTTGAGTCACAGTTTCAAACTCTGCCATCTACCTCTCTGTGTCCAGGTATCTCTCAGGCGGTGAGAGATCATGTGACGAAGCCCACCTCCCTGGCTCAGGGCCGGGTCGCCCACCTCATAGAATGGAAAGGTTGGCCCAAACCTGTGGAGCCTCCACGGGCTGCTCACTCCCACTTTAGCTCCTACTGCCATCTGACGGAAGGAGAGAAGGAGGCCCGGTTTGCTGCAGGTAATCCTTCCTGTACTTTACCATCTCTCAGCCAAGGATATGTGTTGTATGCAGTTTTTAGTGTTGAAATACTCTGGCAAGAGACAAGTGCAGCATAACTAGCTGGTGTGTGTATGTCACTTGTCAGTGTTTATAGGTGTGTGCATCCACTTACACATCCACTTGGTTTAGCCACAGCATAGTGTCGTGGTCGGCGCCAACCTTCTGTCAAGCACCTAATCCCCTAAAACCCCAGTATGTCAGTGGGGTGCTCCACCCACCGTACTGTCTCTTGGGTGATAGCTTGACTTGGCAGCAGATTTTGGCCTATTAGATTCTCTCAAAACATTTCATTGCCAACCAGCGATACAGTAGCGCCTGTTGTTTTGCTGTGACTCATCCATTCTGGCGCCAGTGACATAGGGATGGTTGAGAGGGGTAGGAAAGTAGGGTACACAGCGAGTATAGGCTACATCATGTACATTATAAAGTCTCTTCATTTTTGCTTGGCACAATCAGATTTCCTTAACCTCACTGTGTTAAGTACATCAATGCGGTTCTGTAAAACAAAACAGACATGAGCAGGAGAAAACAAATGTTTGCTACATGATTTTGCTTACTTTTCTAATTTTCGTCTAATCTTTGCTTTTTAAAAAAATTACTAGGACATTTTACATCTGAAAGTTATTCCAATGAGACAAGAAAAAGAACACTCTTTTTGTACTAATCAATGATAGTCATATGAAACCATTCACATTCCTTCATTTCAAAAAATAAAAACCCAGATTTGCTACAACCAAACAATTTCTGTGCATTGCCCTATATTTTCAGGGAGATGCATTTGCATATGCTTAGACATTTAATGGTACAAGTGTCTTAAATTTAAGCCAACAACCATGTGAATACAAGTGTCTTCTTAAATTTAAGCCAACAACCATGTGATGCTTAAATGTCTAAGCATTGAATAGAGGTAAAATGGGGGCCAACAAAAAGTTCTGCACAAAGGGAATATGCCAAAACACTTGGGAATCCACCGTATTAATTTACTGAACCTGTGTTCCTGTAAGGAGTGGCTGAACAATTTGCCATCGCTGAGGCTAAGCTGCGTGCCTGGGCCTCTCTGGATCATGATGATGAGGAAAACTCCAATGATGAAGACTCCCACAACAATGGGCAGACTTTCACGTTGTCCAGTCAGAGCTCAGGTATCCACAGATGCCACTGTTTTGTAAATGTCATCTCATTCCAATCATCATCTTCATTTCTGCATCATCAGTGACACTTTGCCTCATCTTCCCACCTCCTCCTCCACTAATCCCTCCATCCGCAGGTGGTTTGACTCTTTGCTCCTCCCTCAGACGCTGTCACGTCCAATCCTATTTCGGGAGAGCCATGCCAGCATGAGGTGGACTCGGGCAAGGCCCCGCCCTCTGACAGCCCCCTGGCGTCCAGCAGCAGCAGCAGCAGCCTGCGTCTCACAGTGACCCATATTCATCCCAGACCAATTCACCTGATTTACCCAGCAACTCCATGAGTCCGTTCCTGAAAGAGGATGAGGAAGAGAGGCTGGATGGTCATGAAGAGCAGCCAGCTCCTTTGCGGGAGCAGCGCAGTGAGGTCTGTGTCCACCACAAGCCTGAGTGGAGGCCTCGGGGCAGGAGCAGCAGGTTCGACTCCTGTTACTCCGAGTCTCCCGGAGAGGAGGATGAAGAAGACGAGGAGGAAGAAGGCAGTGTGTTTCATGAGTTCCAGCTGTGGCCCTGTAGCCCGAGGAGTTTCTTTTCTGACCGGGCTTCTTCTGGAGTGGCATCGTTTGAGGAGGAGGAGGAAGAGAGGGATGAAGTAGAGGAAAAGAAAGAGGTGAAAGAATATTTGATGTGATGTGTTGTCCACCTTTGTCTCTCTGAGTCTTTGTTGATTCTGGATATGACATCATCTGTTCTGCTTTCACTGTAAACCTCCCTCCTCCTGCTCCTTTTTCTCCTGTCCTTCCTCTGATCCTCTCTCCTCCACCCGCTGCCTTCTGTCTCTCGTCCTCCAGGCCTTTTCATGCACTGACCTCCCTCCGCTGCTGTAAACAGTGTACACTATACTGGAGAGTTCAACCAGAATGTAAAGCCGTTGTTCAAACTGAGTTTTGTACATTTGTGTGAAGAGTTGTGCTGCATTGGTTTTCTATGGATATTTTTGTAGTGTTGTTTTATTCTGGGTCATGCTGTATCATGTGGGTCATGATATGTTTGATACTGAATGTTCTGCATATATAAATTCTTTTTGAAAAATGTTTTCTTGATTCCATAAACAAACTAAACATATGAAAGAAACCGAATTTCCCAGCTTATCTTTTAAAGGGGATTCTCTTTCAATTTAATCATTCGATCACGTACAAAAACAGTTTCATGTTCTGAAAAATAACAATGGCTGTTGGATTTCTAATGTATAACTCTATGCGGATCTCAACTGTGTATCTTCATATGTACAAAGCATATACAGGCCAGTGCCTTATAAAGGGAGACACTACAGACTTATTGCTTAACTGGATACGCTGCAAATTAGCTTGTACACTCTATATTTAACTCCTTATATGATCTTACAGGGTGAGTGCTAATTCCTTCTATATACAAACAAAAACAAAGACTTGTTGCACAAATGTGTACACAACCAAAAGTGAGGCTGAGTTGGTGTGCTGCAGTGATTTCACATAAGACTGGAATATGGCTCAAAATCATTGCATTATGCTAAAACAATTACATCCATTTGAAAATTGTAACAAGGACTCACATACACACTTTGCTCTACAACAGTTTTTGGGTTATCACTGTGCTTCAGACAGGGGTTACATTTCTCAACATTTCATTAGAGGCCAGGCTGGAATAAATGCACTCTGCCATAAGCGTACGTATAACATATGGTGTAAAAATCTACAGGCCGCATACAATACATATGTAAGTGTGTGTCTGTGAGCTCTATAAAAAAGGCGGTATTTTCCTATCACTTGGAGCTCAGGTGCTGTTCCTGTGTCAGGCTAGAAACACTTTAAACACAGTAAATTCACATAGCAAGAAGACCAACAGTATACGTTGCCCTTATTGAATCAGCCCCTATATAAAGCCAAACAAAGCTACATGTGCGGTAAATAATATTCATGGTACTTACAATGTGCTTTATTATTTGGAGCCCTGTGCTAAGCTTGGTGGCCCTTTGGAAGCTGCCTTTATCACTGTGTGAATAGATCCCAGCTGATAGTGGATGTTGGGGACCGATATGGACACCAATATTTGGCAGTTAAAAAAAAAATAGTGATGACATGCTGTAATTAAAGTGATGTAAACAGTTGAGTCTGGACAAACTAATATGACTGTTGCTATTATATCACATTTTACTGCATTATTACTGTAAATTTATTGCATATCAGCCAACATAGTATAACCAACACCATTATCTTAATATTAGCTCTGCCCCTCAGTGCACAGGTAGTTTGAATTCATACTGTTAATTTGTCATGTTCTTCTGTGCTTTTTTTCTTTGTTTGTTCTTTTTGTCATTTTGTAATGTTTGAAGTCATGTTTATATGATGTTTGGCATGAAGACCAGATTTCAGCATGTTAAGGGAAGTGTCAAAAATCTCTCTCACACACACACACACACACACAAACATATGTACTATCTTTGTGAGGACACATGTTGGCACAATGCTTCCCTAGCCCCTTACCCTAACACTTAACCATCAGACCCAAATGCCTAACCATAACACTTACCCTAAACCTAATTCTAAACTGAACCCTAAAACCAAGTCTTAACCCTCAAAAAGATGGTTCAAAAAGTGAGGACCAGCCAAAATGTCCTCACTCTGGCAAAAACTATTTTTGGTCCTCAGTGTGTAGCAGGTACAAAAACACACATATCCACAACATTTACACACATTTGAAAGATAAAGCTGCCAATATTCTACAAGTTTCTTAGTGTCACAAAATCCCATGAAAAGACCAGACCAGCATTTTCTATGTGGGTGTTATGCTATAAGCAGCTAACGTAGCCTCGAGTTGCTAGTCTCAAGCAAAGCAAACTACAGAAGTCTGATAAGCCAGTTTGTTTGCAGCTTCATATCCCCAAGTTTTTCTTAGTCATAGCTTTAATCTTTAGACCCAGCAAATTTCGGTTTTGGTGGGACAGGAATGCAGGAAGTGTTGAGATACACAAATCCACTGCTGCTCTTCTTATAGGATTTTTTTTTGACAAAAATAGAAATATAGAATGAAACCAGCTCTATCCTTTAAACAGGCTTCTGCAGAGTTTCAAAACGTGATACATGACGTTATGTCTACTCACTCGCTCACACCATGACGTCATAAACAGGTGAATGTGACCTGAAAAAAAAGTAAGAAATGTCAACATTCATGAGGTGACAGTGTGGAGATGATCATTCTGATCCTCGGTGTGGGCGGGGCTACCCTGTCCCTCAAGTTCTGATTGGTCCTTGTTCAAAGATGGACTGCCCTGTCCTTGCTCGGTTTCATCCGGCTCAGGAGTGTGGATGGGGGGGTCATAGTCACAGGCCAGCTCTGATTCCTCAGTGTGGGAGGGGCTGCAGTCAAAAGTGAACTCTGATTGGTCCTCGGTGAATGAAGGGCTTTCCTGGAGCACCAAATCTGACGACTGATTTGTGATGTCACCGTGGCTGGTTTCAAACTGCAAATTGGTTTGGTCTGAGAAGTTGACAGGGATTTCTTTGTACGGGAGATCAGGCTGGTCCTTCACATCGGGACGGTTGGGTGCCCGTGGCAACGAAAGCTCCCTGTGGCGGATGCACAGTTTGTGTAGTTCAGTTACCTCAGACACATTTGTGCTGTTGCCACTGTCACGGAAACTGGCCAATGGAGGGCGCACTTTCACTCCAGTCACTGTCACTGAGCCCTCGATGGCCTTACGCAGCTGGAGGAATAAAGATCAAAAGCAGAGCCGGCAGTAAAGAAAAAAGCAAAGAAAGGGAAGAGGAAGAGAAAAGGTGAGCATTCATGATCATACTGTATACAAGTATTCAGAGCTCAGCTTTGAAGGAAACACAGACACACACACACCTCTTTGAGAGAAACCACTCCAACCAGACGTCCCATGCTGGTCACATAGGCGTGATCCAGACCCAGCAGAGAGAAGATAGTGTGAGTCTGTGGATGAGGAGAGATGGGTCACAGCCTGGATACATACTTAGAGAGGAAGGTTCGTTTGCATTTTAAACATAATATTTTTGCCTCTCAAGACGGTCACTGTCATGTTTGCGCAGGTGCAGTTAACATGATACAATGCTCCTGACGAGACAAGAGTGGTAGCAAAATGGTTACAGGTTCTTTGGAATGAAATAAATAATCTTCCAGTTTTGCATAAAAAGACAACTAAATCCCTTTTCAGATATGGGATATGCAATGTTTCTAGCTTCATCCATCAGTTAACAGTGTCAGTCAGACACTGGTCACTTTTACATTAATGTTCCTTACAGCTTCGTTCAGACATACTCACACCCGTGATGGGGAGAGCCACAGCGTGCACACAGTATTTACCATATGCATGATAGTGGACAAAGCATCAAGTGGCATGAGGCCAGAGTTTTCTTACTACAACATGACATATGAATGTGAGCATGTTCCAGGAGAATTTTTGTTCTCAGGTTAAAGCTGTTTAGGGCATCCTACTCTAAGGTGCCCTCTCAGACACAAAGCCAACAGGTTCAGGTGTAGTCAGATTAATGGAGTGCATGTCTAAAAGGGGCTTAAGGAAAACACTGTCAAAGTTGTCAAGTGAGGCCTGAAAGGACAAAAACAATTGGACACAACAGCTTTTGTTGTTGATAACTGCTAAAATATATAAAGGTCAGAAGTAAAAAGCAATGTCTGACCCATTTTGGTGGTTCTTTATTAATATTCAGTGAATTACTATGGTCAAAAGGCCGTCATCATTTCACAGTGTGTATAGGTTTTTTTGTTGGTTGGCTACTGTACCTTATGCAGAGACGTTTGTTCTACCAGCTGAAAAGGGGCAGGATCAATCTTGCAGTTCTTGAAATCCACCGGCTCATCGAGCTGCTGCTCTTCCCATTCTGCTATCTTACATGATGACAAGACAAAGAAACTTGTAAACTCTGAATTAAAAAAAACTTTTATTTCCAGTTTTTATAGGTCTCACCTCTGATGGAGTCATGCAATCTTCCACTTCAGTGGAGTCCTTAAAGAAAAAAAAAATGAGTAAGATATGCACTGTCCATATAAATGCACAAAAGTTTATATACACAAAAGACTGTACACCAACACTACACACTATTATATACAGTAAATCAAGTATACCAACACATTACACTGGGAGCAGTGTTTGCGTCAGTGAAAAATGTAAAATACACGACTGCAAACTGATGAAACATTTAAATCTACTGGAGTGTATAAGGTAGAAATGAGGGCGATGTTGTTCCATGGGTCAAACCAGTTCTCAGCATATCAGTGACAGCACCAGTTAATAATCAATAAAACACAAACATTTTCCACAGCACACGACCACGCACAGAACATTAACAGCAGATTAGAGTGAATCTGATGAAACACTTTGTTTAACACTGAAAAAACAACTACCACTTAAACAAACTGCCCCGTCTCTCTCTCTCTCTCTCTCTCTCTCTCACACACAGTTTCTCTCGCTCTCTCTGCAAAGTCGCTCTAATGCTTTAGTTGGTGCACCACAAATATTTTGCTCCAGCACTCACTACGTGCATGTTGCAAGGCAACGGTTACTAAGCAACAGTCTCTAGGCGGCAGACAATCTTACCGCCATGGAGATCCTCACTCGTTTGGGCTTGGCCTTTTTGTCAGGAGGAGCCGGCCCAGCCGGGCTCTTCCAAGCAGGGAGAGAAGGCATCGACACAGTACAACATTAACACAGGGTCAGTGAAACTGGACAGTTTTACCCCTTCAACATGGTGCCACTGCAACATTGGATCGCAGGTCTGACTTCTACAGCGAGAAGTCCCTGTGATTTGAGCACAATGTTGCTGAAAGGGTATAATTACTACACCACAGATGAAGGCAAGGCCATGAAATCTGTAGAAGAAATCCAATGTTGACACACCATTGGATGATATAGAGTGCTAGAATAAAGGGGGTCTTATACTGTATTATACACCAATCAGCCATAACATCATGACAGCCTGATTAATACTGTGTACACAGGAGTCAATGCGGCAGTTGGTTGGCTCTCGTGTCCCTCAGCTCACTGTGCATCTGCTTGTTTCCATAGTTCTACTGTCAGGAAGAGCATGAATGCATCGACCATTCAGTGGAAACGTTACGTGAAAATTGTGGTCGTGAGGAGAAGTTAGAGATAATCTTTAGACAAATTTAACAGCCTCCCCACTCTAGGTGTGATATCACCGCTACAGCCGCTGAATGTTTCTCTTCATAGAGTCCAGTGTTTCTCATTTTCAATCATTTTAACAAAGATTCAAACAAAATCGAATCTTTTGAAAGGTTTAATCTACAGTAGGTTGACCTCATTATCAGAGAGTCATGGGCATCCATGACGCCCACCGGTTCACTCTTTGTCCTTCTTTAAACACTGTTGGTTGCTACTAACCACTGTAGACTGGGAACACCCAGCAAGACCTGCAGGCTGGGAGATGCTCTGACCCAGTCACCATCACAGTTTAGCCTTTGTCAAAGTCACTCAGATCCTTAAGCTTGCTTCCAATACATCACCTTCAAGGACCGAACGTTCACCTGCTGCCTAATACACCCCACACACTGACAGGTGGCGTTGTAACAAGATGATCAGTGCTATTCACTTTACTTGACAGTGGTCATAATGTTATGGCTGATCAGTGTAATTAGTCCTGGAGCTGAGTTCTTGTTAATGTCATTAGCTTAGCCTCTGCTTTTCCTGCCATGACAATGTGGAAAAACTGAGCTTTAAAAATAAAAATAATTATGGCTGTTGAACTGCTTCACTGGCTCACTGTCAGTGTCATGACTTTACTGTGACACTTGAATAGAACACGGCCATTGTTAACATCATTAGTACCACTACCGATTTTTCAGCTATGTTAAAATGCCTGCTGTGGAAAAAGCCAATTTAGCAGCAGAGTTTTGTGACTACAAACTCTGGCAGTTTGAGCATGCTTAACTTGCATTTTCATTTGGACAACAGCAAGTAATTAGCAGCTGTTTATGTTTATTATAGAAAACAAAACAAGCAAATTACAATTTCCAAGGACCTGGAGTGACATCTTCATGTGTCCAACCGACAGTTAAAGGTTTTCAAACACAGATGTTCTCAATTAACAATGACAAAAATAAAAACTTATGTTTTGTCCTTAATAAATTTAAGCATTTAAATGACTCAGCAATTATCCAATTATTGACCACTAACCTTGTTAATGGACTAATCATCTAATTATTTCAGTTCTACTTAAAATAGGGCCAGCCTAGGATTTGCAAACTAAGTGACATATTTAAACTGTTGACTCTACACATTTTTCCAGAATTCAGCCTGGTGTATTTAGTATCTTTGGAAACTTTGATCTCTGATGATTTAGACTGAGCTAATGGTGCGTGAGCAATGTTTAATGGGATAAAAATAATTTTGACGCAATCATATGCTTCTTAAAACTTAACAGAATATGCTAAAATGTACAATGCTCCAAATACTTTTGACTGGTAGTGAATGTGGTGTGTAGTGAAGGGGAAATGACTCACACAAGTTTTAAAACAAAAGTGCTTTGACCACAGCATGAGATCACACAGGGAGACCCTGCTGCCTGCGTGGATCCTGCCTGACAGCGGCAGGAGGAGGTGGACAGCATAATGTATGTGTGGACTCAGAGAGAGCACACACACACCCTCGCACACGATGCTCGTCACACTCTTACAGTACACTTGCACCCACGCACATATTATGTGTTCGTCTCTTTCTCGCTCTCGTGCTCACCTCCAGCAGCTCTTTGTCTTGGTCAGCACAGGAGAGGGTCTGAGAGCCTTGATGAGAAAATAGAAATCAGTTTTTAGTACATTTGCATTTGACCTTTTTAAATGAGTTTGTTCTCTGTATCCCACATCTCCCTCCCTCTGTGTGTCCCACTGTGTGTAAGGTACATACTATTTGGTGTCTCTGTGTCGCTGGCTGCGGACACAGTTTTCAAGGCAGATTTCAGAGGAAGCTGAACGCTGGAAACCATCGGACTGAAGGAGGAAGACTCCTCTGTTGAGATCTATATGAAAAATACATTAACAAAGAAAGCCAGACACAAGTGCACATGCACACACAAAGAACGCAAATATGAGTACGTGCACATAAACAAACAGGACAGCACAGGTAAGGGCACAGACAACAGAGACAGAGAAGATGTGTTAATGTAGAAATAATAGACATTTATACAGTTTCTAAACACTTACCACAACAGCTGTCCAAATAAACTTCATCTGTGCCTTTACCTATAGTTACATGCTTCACACATGCTGTGACTCATCCACTTTATTCTACTGCCACAACCCAACCCAAGCCAGACTTCACCCCAGCCCAGCCCTGGCGCCCCCAGATGCCTCACACCTGTTGGGTGCTCACCAGGAAGCGGACCCCTTGGCGAGCGCTGGTGTTGGTCAACGTCTCGTTGATGTGGGTGTGGGAACAGGGCGAGCTTGGGCTGCTGTCGGTGGTCAGGCCGGGCAGGTGATCGTTGGTGCCGTTGTCCTGGGCCAGCTGACGCAAGTACTCCAGCCTCCGCTGGTGGCCAAGCTGCAGAGAGAGCAGAGACTGGAGCTGTAGTCGCTCTATGGAGCCCAGCAGGATCATGGAGTCTGAAGGAGAAAGGAGAACGAGAAAGACAGTGTACAGTACACCCATATTCTTTGTAGCTGCTGAGCATCTCATTTCAGAACCATGGGCATAAATATGATGGTTTCAGGTTTTACACAGGATCTCTTTATGGAACTGGTTTTGTGCACATGGCCATTGACATCTTGAAACCACAAAGTTGGAAGAACACCATAGCTAAACTAAGAAGCCAAGCGCAAACAATGACAAACAGCCCCAAATAGTACTCACACTGCACATGCACGTACCTCTGCATTCAACCAGGGCCAGTGTTTTGAGGTGACCAGTCAACAGCATCTCCTGCAGTTCCCGGTAGGAAGAATTAAGAGTGATGTAACGCACATCCCTGACCATGATGTCTTCCACACGGATATTGTACTTCCTGAAACGTGGAGCAGGAGGGGAAAATGATAGAGGTGGGCATGGAGGAGTGGGAATGAGAGAGTAAAGGAAATGTCAGGCAAGACACGGGTAAAAAAACAAAAACAAAAACAAATGAGGGCACAGAATCACTTGAACAGGAATAAAGAAACATCCTCAGCAAACAAACACGTGGGTAGGACACGCAGGGACATAGTTTGGACGCACTGACTCACTCATGATGTCCCATGCCTAGCTCAGGTAGATAAGGAAGCTTCTTGATGCGGATGATGGAGTCGTACAGTGATGGCTGAAGTGCCTGGGCCACAGCGTTGGCCAGGATCACAGCGATCATCACAGGCAGGATGTGGGAGATCTGACCCGTCAGCTCAAACACAATAACCGCTGTGGACACAGTGTGGGTGACTGCTCCAGACAATGCTGCAGCACCTGTAGAAGAGAGAGAGAGATCATCACAGCATGTATAGCCAATTCACATACAGTTATTAACAGAGGACGAGAAAGACTAATATTCAGTGTTAAATGTGAAAAGTAACCGTTTCTATTAATCAGAGTAAAGTTTACAAACAAAACAGGATTTTTCTTATCAAGGCAAATTAGATACAACATGGTGAAATAAAGTATAGTGTGTGTGTATATATATAATATATATACACACACACAGTACATATACACACATGCTCACACTTATTTAGAGGAACTCACCAACAACAGCATAACCACCAGGAACTATGGGATACAAGCTGCCATCAGCATGTATGCCTTCAGGAAACATGGCTGCCATGATTTCTCCAACGAGTCTGCCAAATGCTGCACCTGTCCATCACACACAGGTACACCAAGAAGTTATTGTAAGGAGTTCTTACCACTTCAGGAGAAACCAACAGAGAAGCAGATTTTATTCACCGATAAGGAAAACTGGCATGAAGGCCCCACAGGGAACAGGCATGGTGGTAGCCACAGCAGACATCCAGAACTGAAACCACGTGAGACAAGTTTATTTAAAACTAGAAGTCATAAACATCAAATCATCAACATCAGACTGCACACATGTGTGAGGCCTACCTTCATGATGATAAAGAGAATGAGCGTGATGAAGACATTGACTTGGGGGTGCTTCCAGGCATGGTGGTGGCTGATGTAGTCAAATTCCTCGGCCACACCCTGACGGCACCATGTGCGGTTGTCAAACAGTGTGACCAGGGACTCGTGCTGTGTCAACTAACCGGTTGACACAAGGAAAAAAATTATGTGAATGTCTACTTATTATATTTCTATCCTCATTATATTAACCAGCCACTCAGTTTAACATTTGCTAATTGGATCCTAACATAGAGTACAGCTTTTGCAGGTATTTAATCATAAAACAAAGTACTGGACAAATTAAAAAAAAACTTTCAGCCTATAGGTAAATATTTCCTTGTTTCGAGAGTTTAAAAGGCTCAGAATGAACCTGAAAGGCTTTCTCTGCAGGATGACTTTGTCCAGGAAACTTTGGTCCAAAAATGTCTGCTCTGCATTTCTCCCTATAAAACCTCAAAATACATGAACCTTTTCTGATATTTATTAACCTTTTCCTGGGGCAGAATAATGTGTCTGCATCCACAGAATCTGAAACAGAGGCTAACCTCTGTAGAAACTGTCATAACTGTTTACACCATCACCCAAGAATCATAATAATAAAGTCACAATACAATATAATATGATATCAACATTGTTACAGTGAACATGCTTTTTCTCGCTTATATTCGATTTTTTTTTTCCTGCTTTACTAATTACACCTGTTGGGGTCCGTGCACGCTGTCATTCTGCAAAAAGCCTTTTGTTTGTATAATAAGAAAACATGACAGTTTTTGAACAGCTTACACTATCAAATACAAGAGGACTGGTAAACCGACACAATCTCTCAGAAGCATGCTGTCATACTGTGACATCATGTTCTTACCTGTCCAGCCATGAACTGGCCGAAGCCTGGGGGGAATGTGAGCGTGGTGACCAGCAGGGTGACAAGCGCAGGAAACACCAGACGTCTGACAGGAATAGAGGGACTGCGGGGTCATTAATGGGTGTGCTTGTCACAAGGGGTGTACACACTTGATTTCTGGGTGCTGACAATGGAAAGTCTATAAATAGTGATGTTTGTGAAAGTGACCCAGCTCATACAAGGACTTTATCGAAATGTCCCAGAACTACATTAACACTGTGACACAAAACACAAAGTCAATTTTAAACACAAATTCAGGGCCACATGAGAAAGATTTTGATAAATCAGTGGTGCAGTTAGTTTAACTTAAAATTAGTCTTTTCTAGATGTATCTTCACTATTTGTCATGATTTTTAAGGAACAGTTCAACAGGGGTTTTTTAATAAACATTCACTTTCTGGTGGAGAGTTAAAAGAGAAGACTGATACCAGGTCTCTGCAGTAAACAAAACCACTACCAGGAGCCAGTTAGCTTAGCTTAGCACAAAGACTGGAAACAGGGGGAAACAGCTAGCCTGGAACTGTCCAAAGATAAATAAATCTGCTTACTTCTAGAGGTTACAATTTAATAAATCTTATTTGGTTTATTGATACTACACCACAACTGTAAAGATGACAAGTTGTGATTTTACAGAGACTTCTTTTCATGAAGCACCACTTGTCGTTTTCACACTCAAGATTTTATATGATTAAACCGGATATAACATGTTAATGCTCCTGGTTGTAGCTTCATACAGTATTTACTGTACAGGCATGGGAGTGGCATCAATCCTCTCATCTAACTCTCTGTATGAAAACGAACAAGTGCATTTCCAAAAATGTCAAACTGTTTCTTAAAGGTGGAAAAAGAAATCTATACACAAAAGTGTGCAGAGTCTGTATAACATGATGAATCAGATACTCACTTCCTCAGCAAGAACTTGTTAATAGTCTTCTGTTTTCTCATACACTCTACAATCAGCCGGTTCAGGTAGACAAACAGCGCCCCACCAAAACCACAGGCGATCCTGCAGACAGATAACAACACATCTGACAAGCATCCTTGGACAAAACAAAACCTTAAACAGAGTCATTTCAGTACTGAAAACACAGCTACAGCTTGGTATCACCTGAATAAGCTCATCTTCTGTTTTCTCTATGAAAATATTTTGACATCAAACACATCAAATTTGGCACATGAAGCTCTGGATACAACCTCTACCACAAGAGCAAAAAGTTAATTTCATGCCCCGTTCATCAAATGCAAATCAACCTTCAGGCTCTCAACAGGACTGTGAATGTGGAGAGTGACTTTAGTGAGAGGCTGAATGAGATCTCAGGGTTCCTCAGTAACTCAGACACCAAACAGCTCTTGCACAAGGACTTGGTTGTTAATGTGGCAGCATTCCAAAAAAACCCCACACACTCACCCAAGGACTGCAAACGCTGGCAGCTCTTGAAGGTCAAATGGGAAGTCCAGACGGAAACGGGTCTTAAAGAGAGCAGTGATGGTCTCTGAGGAAAAAGAAGTTTGTTGACTGACTATTAAAAAGCTTAGTAAAACACAAATTTCCAAATCATGTTCTCTAACTTGTTTCAGATCAGACTATGTGAGAGATTTTTATCATTTGAAATAACACAAAAACCACAAGAAGACATAGGTGAAGTCATAAACTCACAAAGATAAATACAAAACTTTACCATTAAGAAGGTAAAAGCAAAATTAATAAACACAAAGTTCAAGGAATGCTTTCCGTCTATATGTGTTACCTTCCTCTTGGTTCCACACTGCGAGCACTCTGAATATGAAGGCACTGAAGGTGGCGGCAAAAAAGCCTCTCCAGTAGTTCCTCACTGCAAAAAACGTTGACGTGACCTCGATACTGAACAGCACCCCTGAATCACAGAAACACACACATTTCATCCCACTCAGAAGTTTTGTTGTAGAAATTATTTAAGTATTTCTTTATTAATCACAACATTATTAGGGCTGCAACTAATGATTAACTTTATTTAGTTTCCCCAGTTAATTTGATAATCATTTTGTCTATAAAAAGAAAATAGTATAGAATTCAAGTCATAACTTCCCCAAAGCTCAGCATCAAATTGAGCAATTAATCAAATTATATTAATCAAAATAGTTTCCAGTTAAATTTCTGTCATTTGACTGACTGGATAATTATTTCCGCTCTAATCATTATGACCACATATCCGTGGTTTGGTAACACTTTACAAATACAACTTGGAAATAAAAAGTAGTTCCACATCATTTTACAGGCAGTGTTAAACTCCTCACATGAGCTGTTTGTGTTGCTCATTAGTTAAAACGAAGAAAACAAAAAGCTCCATGACATGAGAATGAACCCACTTTTTATGTATATTTATGTTCTTGTACACAAATTACACAGTTTGACCTAAAGTGTCTTGAGTGTCCAAAAATGGAAGGTTCATCCTCTGGGATCCACTGTGCTCACTAAATTTTAGTTTCAATGTTAACCTTTAATTAGTCTTTGATATTTCTCATTACGTTTTTAAAAAAATGTTTATGGCATTGTTAGGTCAAACAGGATTTCAACCAGAAGTTCTCAGAAGAGATGGAAATTAACACATCTACATTTTCCTGATTAAGTGCGTAAGGACGATTTTATGACATACAGCTGAAAACTCCTGAACAGCTACTGAGTAGTGTTTATCAAACAACCCTACCAGGCTCTTTAGCTGTTAAACGGTCCACTGTGTTTACCAGCTGGTCGCTAACTGTGACTGTTTGTTGTTTGGTGCTGAGAAGATAATGTACTGTGAGGTTTTAGGGCTTTGTTGCAGTGAGAGTGAATCAAACCAGTAAAGCTCCATCTGGACAACAAACAATGAGCTGAAACTCTCTATAAAGCTCCGTTAAAGCTGAGGGAAGCCATAGATCCTGGTGATAAGTCAAAAGGTTCATATTGCTTTTACATTTCTCTTGTAAATTCAGTTATATTCACTTTAAAAATATTCTTGATGGGCGCTCAGGTGTTGGTCATGTGAAATACTGAAAACAGCACTGGAGAAAAGGTCACAGGGTCACCTAAAATAATGAGAATCCTCCTTTGAAGGAATATTTATGCCACATTTAATCTGGCAAATAGTTGCTGAGATACATTATGCCACTTCTGAAACAAAGAGCTGGGATCCTCAGGCCCTGCTGCTGGATGGTTCAGGAGTCATAATCTCCTCATCTAATTAGCTCCCATAATTATCTACACTAATTAGATACCATTCAATCAGAGGGTGCAGACATGTTGCCTTACCTCCAATAGGAGCAGCGAAGCAGCAGCCCACACCCACTGCACAGGCAGCCGACAGCATCTCTGTGTTCCTCAGCTCGTTCTGTCCAACCAGTCAGATACACACAGACAGACAAGCACACACATGCAAACACACACACATTCAAGATAACACACACACACACACACACACACACACACACACACACACACACTTCCACACACACTCAAAACCCAACAGGAGTACATGTAACGGCAAACGCCACAAGCAAAATCTCATGAAACATCAACAACTGTTTACAAATGCAACAGTATAAAGCTGCTGTTATGTTACTTCACATATATGAGATTACATATATGAGTGGTGGGATATGGGAGGCCATAAATAAAAACCCATGGCAGTGTTAAAATCATAGAATGAGATATTTGTATTGAAGCAAAGGCAACAGATTGATGCCTCACTGCGATGGTTGACTGAACAGAATCCAACACAGCTCAGACAAATGAAAAGCCATCAATCTATCTCAGTCTCTGAAATGGACAGCATGGATTATTGATGCTGATGGAACTGGCAATAAAGAAACTGCCTGACTCGTGCAGTCGTACCTTGCTTCCCTCAAAGGGCTCTTCCTTTAGCAGTAAAAGTGAAAAAAAAGAGAAACATGTGTGAGTCCAAGTGTAGATGGTTTAGCCTCCTCTTGGAAAACATCCAGCTTATTATCCAAACCACACAGAAATCAAACACGGAGCAAATGAGCTTCAGCAAACAGTCTTGATTGCACAGTGGACTGAATTAACATTTTCACGGACTGTCTTTCTAACTGTGCTGACATGTGTTTTTCTTCCTCCACATGACTGCAGTCTATGTTGCTCCGTAGTGATGGGGATGCTGCTGCTGTTGGTACAGAGAGGGGAGCTCTCCCAGCAGGAGATGTGCAGCACAGTGTCCACTGCAGGGAGAGACAGGAGCCCACGGTGAGGTCTCATATGAGTGGAAGTGAGTGTGCGTCCTGGAGGGTGGCACAAAGTCAAAGAAAGATTTTTCACAATGTAGATGTGTTT